CGAGTTCAGAGAAGGCATTTTTTCCGACTCCTTGATCACCTCTGCCACCTACCTATTAGTTGTAAGCCTTTTATAATTCAGCAAGATGTTCAACTAATCCTGACACGTTTTCTAAACACATATGCTTTTTCAACCCCCCGACCCCCACCCCGTTTGATTGGTTGCAAGTTTTGTTATCTGGCCCCTTTATTAATTTATCTGACGTGCGATCCGGATGTACTCGAATACGATGGTAGAAATGTGTGGCGAATTCCGAGTCTCAGTCGGCCTTGCACTTGGGTTTCTCTTTTATCTCTGATCGTCGTTTTGTTACTCATGGCATGTCCTCACGGTCTTCCGATTACAATTGGTGAGCTCGCACTATGAACATCTCACTATAATTTTCCAAGTGCGTTTGAAGATTTGTATGAATTGAACTGACGATGCCACTTATTGAAAATAGAGAGTTGGTCATGGTCTCCGCTTATCACTCTAGTTTTTACGATTGCTTCGAGCATTGGTTGGATCACGTATGGAAGTAGCCGATACATAGGCCCTATAAAATCCATCACGTTTTGGACAACTGGACAAGAAGTTGACTTCCCTAGACCGCAATTCGGAATTGGAGGTTTGCCCAATTTTGACAAGAGTGCTGTTGGAGAAGAAGCCAGTCCAAGAAATCCGGGAATTTTCCACAACAACAACATCGCTCAACCAGTCGTCGAGCGTGGCAACAGTGAAGAAAGCCTATCTTCCGAAGATCGATCCCATTGGCCTATCACAATCACTAGGACTACAGTGACAGAGGTCTGCAGTGCTTCGACAATGATTTGCCCAGCAATCAACCGATGATATGATTATTTCTTCAGCTCGATTCTTGGATCTTAGCTCCACTATACCCTACAAAATACCTCCTTCTGTTTCTTGTTGTAAAAAAAGAGGTCTTTGAGATCCGTAAAGCGTATTGCAATTTGCTTCTGTTTATTTTCTCTCCATCGCGGATTTTCTTCAATCTATGACTGCATTATGTGGACTATTTTTCTATTAATCATGATTCTATACATTTGTTGAATCTTTGTGCAGCTTGAAATCCGATAAAAATTAAGGAATTTAAAAAAAATACGCATTGTCCTGATGAAATCACATCTCCCAAGCTAGGGAAAGTGTTAGATTTGAGACATACCCGATGACTTCTCATTGTCATCGACAGGCTTGCAATTATCACTCTGAATTTTGAGTGTATACCCAATTAATGCCAATCACAACTAACACACATGGACTTAGAATGATCAATTTTTCTTCCTTCAACCATGAAACTACAGGAGTTTAGGAATTTCTTGTGTTCAAACATTTGAAATACTGCAGGTTTATAGTCCATCAATAATGCATTTATGTCCCTAGATGGATGTGTCGTGGTCCAGAACTAATGGATGACTTCCCGTCAACATCTGCGGGGCTCCCAGTTTTGATTTAGAGCCGAAAAAGCTAGATTTCCCTGCAAAAATCTAGACTTTTTGGGTCTAAATCGGAAACTGCGAGGCTCCCAGATCCAACGGGAAGTCCTCCAATGATCTTGTATTGCTCCTACATGTCCTCCTCTTGTATACACACCGCTTCAAATGCGGAGCTTGCACACCCATGCAACAGGATGCAATTATCCATGATCAGTGCTCTCCTGCCTGGAAGCTTCTTGGAAGATGTGTTTTTTCTTTTTCTTTTTTAATACTTTATTTGAATGTGGTTTTGGTTTTAATGTCTTGTGAAACTGGCAAATCTTCTCAACAACAAACTCCTGTGATATGGCATTGAAATCAACATGCATATTGCTCTGACTTGGAACACAAGAAAGGAGAAGAGGCAAAAACTAAAAACTGAATTGGGAAATACACATATGCAGGTTGGGCTAGATCCTATTTGAGTGCCTCCCAAAAAAAAAACTGGATGGGATTTGAGTGCCTTTCAAAAAATTGATGAGAAGCTCACAGGTTGGATTTAAAACATTCAGGCCCCATTTGTTAGCAAAATGTAGTGCCTCCCAAAAAAACTGGAAAGGTGTTGGTTGATGAGACACTAACAGGTTGGTTTTAAAGAATTCAGGTCTTGTTTGTTAGCACAATGCAGCAGTTTACATAGTGTGTTCAATTCCTGCAAAATTTGACAGAATATGAGTGGATTCCACACATCTTACATTTGCATGTGTCACTGACAGACATGGCCTCAATATTTTGAAATGAGTGATTTGGCGAGCATGCTGCAGCACAAAATTTGAGTTTACCCAATCAGACATTTCTCTGGTGGCTTCCCAGGTTCATGTAGGAAAATTAGAACAGGAAAATCAAAACTTTAAAATACCTGCCATGTAGGATTGAAAACAGCCACTGGGTGCAAAAAAATATTTCTTAATCATGGCACTGACTGGGATTTGTCAAGTTGAGCTCAACTAATAATGATGCTAGCCATGACAGGTACACCCCAAATCTTGCTTAGTGGTTCTGTAAAAAAAAGCCCTGGATGGCATTCGCAGTGCCATGACACAGACAGACATGCACTTTTTCTTGATGCAGAGGTCAATCAAGAAATTTGGGTTAGATTAAACATGGGAGTAAGAAGAAAAATTCATCTCACATGAGACTGCAGCAATCAAAAACCACACAGAATGTGATATCTAACTATAGACCCTGGAAAAGAGCTCATCATGCACCAGACTGAGTCAGAGTCTAGAGTGAGATTTTGTATTGATTGATCATAATCCTTCCAATTTATTTAGGTTGCCAGAAATGAAACAAAACAAAATGTTTCTGTTTTCCTCTAGGATTGTGGCTGAACATGCAGGCAGTTTGATCCAGTCACCAGCATTGGATTTGTTATGGCCTCAGTTTGGATTCTCAAGGGCCTGTACAATAGGGTTCAATTCCAAAAAAAAAAAATCATTTTTTTTTGTATGTTCTACACAAAAATTGGGAACAATTGGAGAGATCTGGTGTTGCAATTCTTCACTTTGAGGTCAAAGACTGGGCAAGATCACTTTTGATAATATGAACTTTTAAGCCAGCTAACTTTTGGAAACATTGATTTTTCATGTGATATGGTACTGGCCCTCTGTCTGGTTTATCTTGAATATCAGAAGAAAATCAGTCCAGGGAATGGAGAGTAGGGATGAGTTCTTGCAAGTTACTGGAGCTGCAACTCAGGCAATGTTCCATGAGCAATATAAATAAGTGGTTGTGAGGGGCTCTGAAGATTAAGCATAGAGAAAAGGCACAAAGCTTGGGGATTTTAAAACAACTTTCAAGTTACAAGGAGTGTGTTGGTTTTATCATGATGCAACTCAAATACTGATAGGTGCAGGGACAACTGGAATTGTTGCCACAGGCTACAAACAATTGTGTCAAGTTGCTCCAAAAAGCATTGTTGGTCTGTAGTTGCCCAATGGATTCTACATGCTGCTGCATTGATGCTTCTCAATCTTCTGGCAGATTTCCCAGTCAGGCCTCCCTCTGATCCATGCAAGCTTTCCTGGCGCGATTACAAGAGACCTCTTGACAGTTCCTGTACCACTTTCACAACTGGAGGGCAACCCTTGTCTCATTTCTTTTACAGTTCAACCACTGGCCGTTGAAGTCCAAGTCGAGTTGCCCAGTTGCACAGATATGTCTAGTTTGTTGATTATCATTGCGTCAACCTTTCAAGAGAAAGGGGAATGGAAAGACGCTTACGTGACAGCCACAATTCTCTTGACAAGTTTTTTAATCCTTATAAATCCTTCAAGTCATCTTAATTGGCCTTTTCCAGATCTTTCGATTGGGGTTTTTTTTGGAGGGGGGGTACATAGCAGTCCAGCTTGACAGCTTTTAACTAACAACAAGCTTCGTCGGTTCCAACTCAGAAGTTCTCCTGCAAGAAGGAAGGTTTTACATACCTCCTAAAACCCCATAACGCGTCCATGAACTCCTTTGAAGTTTGTAGTGCATACATCAAGAGCAACGGATCAAGCCTTTGTCATTCAAAAGTCAACTTCTGAGAGCCATGAGGCTGAGTCTGATGAAGATTAATTCCCTAAAAAGAGCTTTCCTTGACCCCTTATGATTCTTCTGGTCATTATACTAGTGTGAGTTGAACTGCCACGCTATTCCCCAAGTCGACAAAGATCAGTCCATTCTTGAATCTCTTAGTTTGTTCTCAGTGTTGTTTGAGAGATTAGCCAGTTCGAGCTGGTGCTCGGTTAATTTCCTTCTACACAACCTTTTCGACGCGGGTCGCGCGTTGGCTGTATTCCTCAGCTGCATAAATCCTCCTCTCGCCATAGATCTTCCTTCATCCACCATCTCCATCAGTAAGTCAACTTTTTACTCAATCCCTCCTCTTGAGCTTGCTCACTAACCTTCACCCTCCTAGCAGCATCGTCTTCGACCGCGATCATGGTCACCAGATCTCATTCGCCTCCGCTTCCGCCCAATGCAACCTACAACCATCCCATCATCTCCCTCAACATTCTTCCATCCGCCAAGGTGTTCACCGCCGGCTCCAAAGTCAGTGGAATGCTCGAGGTCATATGTAAAGAACGAAATTCAGTGGCCCTTGGCCAGCTCGCGATCGAGTTCTTCGGAATCGAAAAAGTC